TATATATATATGTAATTTTTTATTTATTTTAATGTCAACTATGAAGAAGAATCTGTAATAGAGTATCACTTGAAATTCCTTCGATTCTTTTTCAAGTATTAGTCGAGAAAGATACTCGGAAACTCTTATAAATACGATATATTTATCGAAATATTGAATGTCTATGTCTCTTGTAATTGTTCACTTTCTTCTGTTCTTGTCATTATTAATTAATTACATATACATACACGCGAATCGGAAAACTAATATGCTTGCATTGTCATCAACTGATTTATGTCGATTAATCTATTGATATATTTTGACAGCACAACAATAGTATTGTAAGTTTCTTTCTTTTCTTTTTTTTCCTTATGTCTTTTCTTTTTTCCGTCTGGTTCCATCATAATTCAAAATTTGATGTCGTTTTCTTCGATTGATGACAAGAGAAAGTGAAGTGACCATTCTCTTTTCCGTCGCTTCAATCAACCGGGCATGTCATCCTGCTTCCTAGTCTCTTTTTCTTCTTCTTCTTCTTCTTCTGTTGATAGACAGACAACTTTATTCTATGTTAAAAGAGTGAAGTAATATAGAAAAAAATGTTAATCACAATAGCATCAACCAACGTTTTAAGGGTATGTTTCGAATGATACACGACTACTAATGATAATGCTATTATATCTGAGTATTCACTTTTATTGACATCATTAATCATAACTAAAAAGCATGAGTTAGAAACTCATTTAAAGACAAAAAATGAAATAGGATTGAAATCATTTTTGTAAAAGTCACCTTTTTTCTTTTCTTTTCGAGTGATTGAATCAATACATAAACCATTTGAAAGTCAAGTGCACCTACATGATCTGGTTATCAGATCGAATTAAGAAGAAAAATCGAACTAAGTACACATACTTTCGACAATGTGCTGATTGAGATAAACAACATACGATATAAATCTCACCGATAGCTGGCCGTTCTTTTTTTTTGATCTATGAGCGGAAATATAATGCAACAAGACTCTATTAGCTGGTCACTTTATCTATCTCGAGGCAATACATACTAGAAATTCTATTTCCTTGTCGTTTGCTTTCGTCTGACTAGTCTTTACTTCAAACTCGATTATTATAATAAGAGTAGTCATCAAACATACTCCAATTTATATATACACCTGTATGAAGAAGAGACCGATGAGAATTAAAGTAAAAGAAAATGTCAAAGTCGTATTCTTCCTTGTTCAGTTGAACCTTTGAGGTAGAAGAAAAAAAAACTGTACTATTCCTTTTTTTTTCTTTGATTGAGGTCAATCGATGTGTATGTTTGTGTCCGCGATGAGAGAATAAGATGAAGGAGAAGAAAAAGAAGAAGAAAAAAAAATGAGAACGAGAGTAATAACAATGCAATAGTTTTGTTGATGAGAACAACTGAATTACCCTTCCCTTTCATCACATTTTTTTTTATTACACATTCCATTACATTCACATGTGAGTTGATAGAAAGAATAATAACAACACCTTTTCTAATCGAATCAATCATAGCTTATAGGCGACTCTTTTTTTTTCTCTATTGTTTATTTATATTGAACGGTCAACATGAGAATTCAAGCTTCGATAATGATACTAACATATACAAGTCGCCTCGATCAAACACATACTCGATACCCTTATAGACTAATTGACCAGAGATAAATTCATCCTGTTAGCATTGATTTTTTTTCTCCTCCTACTTGTTTTGTCTCTCTTTCTCTCTCCTTCTGTCTCATCTTTGATTTTATTAAATAGGATTATAAGAGAAAAAATTTTCATTTTTGGCAGTTTTTCTTTAAGATAATTGTCCGTTTTCTAAATGTTGTACGTGATGCAATTTTTTTTTCTTGTTCGCTCTCTTATTCTCGGAGTTATATTAAGTCAAAGATAACTCTACATTGATCGATGACAATGCATATAGCACTAGATCGATCATTACTATCCAATTCTCCGAGCCAATTATATTTTTCAATAGAAACCTATGTAGAAGAATTTCTTTTTTTTTTTGTTTTTTTATAAATAATATATATATATACATATGTATATGTTTCTTTACTAATTCAGTCGAGCATGAATCGAATAACATCAAGAAGAACATTAATTCATCATAGATTTCCTATCGAAAACGAGTGACGAAACAACAAGTGTATATACCAGCGTAAGTAATGATGTAATCGAACAAGCGGCGTGTCGCATTTAGATCAGTCGAGCGACAAAAAACGAGAATATATGTGATGGTTTGTGAATAAGTTTACTAATATATATTATATATAGATAAAAAGCGAAAAGAAACGAATAGAAAAAAAAGAAAGAAAGAAGTTTCATGTATTTGTCAAGGTTAATTATATATTTCAGATATTCAATGGAATGGATTTATATTATTTAAATTTACTATTTAGTCTTTTTTTAATGTTAATTAATTATTCATCAATAATCAATGCATATGATTTTCAATGTTTAACATGTGACAATTTTGTTGATGGACCTGGTTGTGGAGAATTTACAAAAGAAATACCCGTACGAACATGTAGAACATTTTGTTATTTTGCTATTATAAATAATCGTTCGTTATTATTATCACCATCATCATCATCGTCTATATCTAAACGTGAACTTCTTCCAATACCATTAACAAGAGCTATACGAGATTGTTCACCATATGATGATATGTCAATTGAAGGAAATATTTTACTTGAATCAAAACTTGGTTCATTATCATCATCATTATCATCCTCTCATATTGATATAATTATCATAAAACGATGCAACAGTGAACAATGTAATAATGATTTTTATGTAAAATCGGACGAATTTCTTTTCGGAACAAGTTCATCATATCGGCAAATATCATTTCCACTCCTGTTTTTTTTGTTTATGATTATTTTTTATTTTAAGAACATGTTTTAAGAAAGAAAAGAAAAGAACATTAATTTACGGTTTCCTCTTTCTTTTTTTTCAAATAGAGAGATAGATGAAAAGCTTGAATGCATTCATTATTGTGCTATGTGCGGTAGACGAGAGCGAACATACACACACAAAAATATAATAATAATCATCATCATCACTGATGTGTCTATTATCAGAACTCGCCGCCGATCATCTTTATTTTCCTTTCCTTTGTAATGCGTCAACAAGTGAAATGAAAAGATATGCAAATGACTATATATATATATGTATATGGTCAACCATAAAGACCACTTAGTAAGGGCGTATATAAACCTCCTACTGTGTGTTTAATACCATATGTTAAATATGTACTTACATTTCTGGATTTTTAATGCCTTTTGCTAAAGCCATATCACGATAGGTTTTACAAGCCATTAATAATGATTCTGTACCACCAGATGTCATCTAAATAAAGATAAATGACAATGTCAAATATTTAATTAAAATTCATTTACCGTTCCACAAACATTTTCATCACCATGAAACATAGTTGCTACACATCGTACAACTTCGGCTTCCATTGTTCGAATATCAGGAAAAACATCAGCATGAAGTGGATTTGTATCACCAAATAAATTAAAAGCCTTAAAAGAAAAAAAAAACAAATATTTATATAGAAAAATTTTAATTTCATTAATCAATTTACTGTAGTATAGATTTCGTTTGTATCCGATTTTGATAATTTGTAAACACAACCAGAAACTTTACCAGATGAATAACTAATAGTTTCAAAATTTCGATAATTTTCAAGTTTTCGAATAAGTTCATCCTAAAAGATTTTTTCAAAAATAAGAAAATAAATTATAGATTTAATGAATCAATAATTTACTTTTGCAAGTCCTTTTTCCGGTAAAGCTTTAGCAAATTTATGTCCTTGAATACTTTTTGCCATATCAGCATAGACTGATTTTAATGTATCATTACGTGCTTTAGCAATTTCACGTTGTACCATAGGTATATGACGAGCCAAACGAAATATTGTTTGTTTAATACGCGTAGGAATGTCTAAGAAAATTTATATCAATTGTTTTTTTTTTGTATTAATAATAAGTTATTCACAAAAATATTTCTACATGTTTAATAAAAAAATTTATCAACATAAGTTCACAGCTATTTGCTTAGTATTTAGTAGGATTTCAAGGTCAATGTTTTATTTTTAATACTGTAGCCAAGTAAAATATTATTCTAATTCTTGTTCACGATAAAGTGAAAATTATACTGGACTATATGAAGTAAAATTGTCATATCAAAAGTTAATCAATCACTATTTTTCTTAATTTCTCAATATGTTAAAGTTTATTTTCAAAACTAAACAGTAGACTTATAGAAATTTAAAAACGTTTAAAAAGCTGTTAGCGTAATTTCTGCGAAATTAAAATGTGAAATATGATGCAGCTGCTCTTGCTAATCACAAGGAGATTGTTGTATTATATTTACTTTGGAACGCATTTATTTACCATCCTTTTACTTAATCCTCCAAAAATGCAATAAGGAAGTACTTTATATATATTATAACGGAACGTTATTGATATACAATCTTTGATCATTCATCAACAACGTTTGCCACAGTCTCTGAATAGTGTCTGTCACGATCTGTAGTGGTGCAATTTCGACCCTATATATTACAACATTTCTTTTAGATCTTGTTTCACAAAATAACGCAAAAAAAAGTCTTCGCGATTAGAGATATGCAAGAGCAAGTTTTTGGAGTTTCACTCTTGAATTAGAGAGAATTATTCTACAATTTATTTGTATCACATCTAAAAAAATTCTTCAATACTCGGTTTCTTTTTGATTTGTTTAGTCGAGGACTAACACTTTTTTAGATCATCTCTATTAAATTATGTGTTCATTGATATGATTTACAAAAGTGTTAGCCTTAGAGAGTATCAATCATTATAAGTGTTGGAGAATTGAAAATTTTTATGCATATATTTCGTCAAGAGTATAGACCCGAGACACAATTCCGGTTCAATTGTTTAAGTATAGAGATAATTATGATGAATGACATCTATCTGTGCATTAAGCTTTTTAATCTGAAAAGGACTGCCTAGTCAATTTTGCACAACTTTCTCAGCGAATACATAATTAATTCTTGATGTTTTTGAATAGAATTGAACTTCAGTCTATGGTAGTTCTTTATTCGAAAGATGAATTTATTTGCTCGAATATTGGTGTCTCTGAACCCCTCTCCCTCATCAACATAATGTTCATAGCTATACTATTTTCCATCAATACGCAGTTGGTTTATGAAACTTGTACGCACTAATGGATAACTGTAGAGGTAACTTTTCTAAGAGTTTGAGCTTCATTCACTAAATTACTATTGCATTCTCGTCTCAAAAAGGTACTAGATGATTTTTCTCTACATCAACAGTCACTAGAAAATGGCCACAATATGAGAGAGGGTTAATGAACTTCAATGACATTAGTTGCATGGATAACTGGGATACAACGCTACATAATGATCCTGTTAGCGGATCTAGAAAGCTCATCTTTTTCGGAACTATGAAGTTCAAAGGCGATATAGGTGCCATCCATTGTAATTCTCTTTGTACTTATGCTACCAAAGCAAAATTGTGTCTCTGATCTACATTCACCTTTATCTACTACTATATCAGATAATTTGTTTAAAACCATACAATATTAAACTATAACCTTTAGTTTCAATTAGAACAAATTTTTTTGTCGCACTTCTGGTTTCAGCAAGTCTTCAAATCTTGGTTCTAGTATATCTCTATTCCCGATAAATATATATTATAACTTCATATATACTAAATAGTAGCAATACTACAAGAACAAATCGAAAAAAATTCAATGTTAAAGTGACAAGTTCAAAGCTGAAAGTCTTGACTAAAAATTGAGAAGAATTTTTGTATGCAGGATTTATCAAAAGAGCTTTATTGCTTTTGACTATATTTGTCACTCTCACTGTTATCTAGAGAGAAACTAACAAGAAAAATCTGAAAATAGTACAATTATTTGAGCAACAAATATTAGCTAAAGAACAGGGCTATATTAAACATTAACGAAACTACACTTGATAAAGAGGATGATAACTGATGTAGGATGTGAGAATCAGTAGAGAGTATTACACTCAGTACACGATGGTAGAATCGATAGAAAGCGTTATGAATCAACCATGGTTAAAGAGTCATAGATTCTATCTTTAACATGAAGGTCGCTTTGATATAATAGTGCGTCACTAATAGTGAAGGGGATTGATGAGTATTTTTTTTTTCTATCTCAAATTATATCTTCCTCAAACAAATATATTATTGTTAAAATTTACCTTCATCATGACCAAATAAAAATTGATAGAGTCCGATACCGCATGCGGTAACTACTGATGCCATTGCAATTAATTGTAATGGTGTAAATGAATCCAATAATTTATCATTTAATGATCGAGTTTTTTCATATAATAAACTTAATTGTGGCTCGTAATTATTTAATATTTGCTAAGAAAAAAAAAATTTCATTTTATAATAAAACAAAAACCAAAATAAAACTTTACTGTGTAAAACGGCCGAGCAGAACCCATGGTTGAGAAAGTCTGTTCTTTCAGAATAACTGTGTCTTATCTACAAGTAACACATCACAAATATAAAAAAGATAAGAGTTTGTTTTCGAACTGCAAACATGATATAACAAAAAAAAAGACACTTGACTTATATATTTGTCAAGCATATTTCATCTAATAATAAAATGAATCATATGGAAACAACTCGAACGATTATATACTAATAAAAAAAAAAAGAAGAGGAAAAATCTTCATTTTTATGCTCGATGTGCTATGAATCGAAGGGCGTTTTAGCGTATATTAATACAATGATATGCACACCTTGATGTAGAGTAAGCTTGAATAAATTTGAATACGGGTATAAAAAAAAGCAGAAGATTTGAACCGCTCGTGCAATATCGTAATATCAATCATGTAAAAAGAAAAAAACAACCAGAATTGGTCACTAAGTTACACATATCATATTCGATTAGTAATTTTGACAAATATGAGGTCGCTAGCAAACAGATAACAATTTTATTTTATTACTTATTTATAACTAAAATCACCTTATAAAATCATAAATGAAAAAAAGAACTCTTATATAAATAACTATGAATGTAAATAAATCCATATAAAATCCAAATGAGAAGAAACTAATTTCTAATGATCATATATATTAGATTTACTAATTCAATACTTATATTAATAGAAATTCTTTACAAGTTTCAAACTATCTAATTAACAATTTCTATGTCAACTACAAATCTTGAACAGGATGAATTGGTTACTTGTGATTTATGTAAACGACGTTATAATATAAATGTTTATAAACGACATATAAGTGAAAATCAATGTATTAAACGAAATCAACGTCGATTACCATTTGAATCAATAAAACAACGATCAATTCGAATTGGTGATAATATATTTTCTATTCAACAACAACAACAACAGCAACAACAGACAAATAATGATGTACAATTATCAAATAGTCGAGAGAAAAGAAAACAACAAATATCTAATAATAAAAATAATAATAATAATAATAATAATAATAATAAACAATATCAAGAAAAAATTCAACGAATTACACCATCTAATAATCGTCGACGAAGACTTGAACAAGCTAAACAATTATTAGAACGACGAATTAAATATAAACCACCATGGATTCAAAAACAATCTAATTTTACAAATAATCTTCAATCAAAACTAAATCGAACTAGTACAATTCTTCTTCAAACTCAAGATAATTTTAATAAGACTAGAAATCAAAGTTTGTCATCAAAAAAATCAACACAAAAATTATATTCTCATACACGACCATCTCCACCAACAACGAAATTTAAAAATGATGATTTGCCAATTAAAGGTAATTAAAAAACATAGTTTTCTATCAAAATTTAAAAAAAAATGAATTATTTCAGTATCGGATCGTTATATACACAATCATATTGTTTCTCAACAGCCGATTTTAACTCATTCTCCTAAAATACGAATATCACAAGTATCAACCACATTTAAATATCAACCAAATCGTATTGATCAAACATTTTCTCATGAACAAAGTAATTCTGCTTGTCAAACAATGCGTAAAGCATATACTTGGACACGTCCATCAAAGCAATTATCTACTCGTGATATTATTTCACCTATTCAAATTCCAACTTTTCATGAATCATCATCAGGTCCTTCTCATGATCAAATACCAATACTTATCAATCAAAATTATAATGATGATGATGAATTTGAACGTTATAGTCCAACACCACCATCAACACCAAAATATCAACAAGATAAAAAAGAATCAAAACATATTTCACCATGTATTAAACAAAATTTTATTCTTCATGAACAACAAACATTTATACGACCACTTACATATCAAAAAGCTAAGAGATGTGAACAACAGCAACAAAATGAAAGTAAATGATAGTTTTAAAATTCAAGATGAGACAATCAAAACTTTTCGCCAATACTTAGAAAACAAACCGTACAAAAGTTGACTGATACATTCATAGAGACTACTGGAAATTTTCTTTATGTTAGAAATAACTGACGAGAGAACTACCTAAACTGATATTCATCGCTTGAATTCATGTTGAATTCACAAGGAGATCTCGATAAAACGAGAAAAATCTTAAAAGAGTTCATGTCCATGGGCTTCTGGAGTCGAGCTATGACCGTTTTACTGAATTTTCCATTTAAAATTTCAGCAGAATAGACGATTCCTACAGGAATTCCACAAAAATCAAGTTTCCTTGAAAATTTAACATCTCGAATAAAGAAACATTCTTTTCGACTGAAACTTGCGCGATATTCTAAGAATCATCAAATTTATCTATGGGTGAAACTGCGTATTTTTGTTTTTCAGCGTATACCCAAGGTCGGATTGAAAATTCAGTAAAACAATCATAACTTCATTCTAAAGGTCTATGAAGACAAACTCTTTTAGAGTTTTTCTAGTCTAACCAAGATATCCTTGTAGTTCAAACAATGAATATGAATAGTATGAAGAAATCTGATCAACGAGTTTTATCATTAGAGCTCATCGGCTTCAAAACTTCGAGACTCGAATCAACCTGACGAGCTCTATTCATTATGAACACTGTCTTCTGTCTTGAGTAAGTCTAAAGAGTGCCCCTCGAAGTTCTGGATCTCAACAAAAATTAGCTTATATGTAAACAAAAAGTGGTGCCTTTGCAACTATATCAATATGAGTTCCGAGTATTTAGGACAATGTTTTAAATGACATTATTGGTTTTAATAATAATGATATAAACAGAAGAAAAGGAATAATTAGGGCATACGTACAGAGGATAGCCACACCCATATCTCATCCTATTTTCTTCTGTTTATATGACTATTATTAAAACAGATGATGTCTTTTGTTTACATATAAACAAATTTTCGTTGAGATCCAGGACTTATGAGACATAATTTATACTTCTAACAACTTATTATTGAAAAATATTATTTCGTTTCGCCTGTTTTTCTTGGATAAACATAACCATCATCATCCGAGACTATCATGTATTGATAAACATTGTTAAGTATTGAAAATGTCACACATTGTATAGTATTTTCAATATTCAAAAACAAAAAAACAAAAGATTTTTAATAATCGTATTAAACATTTCTTGTTTCAGTTCAAATATATCATCGTTCAACAAAATCTCCACGAAATCAAGCACATCGAAAAAATGTCCAATCAACTTTTCATTTACCACCAATAAATCATTCGTCACATCCAAAAATTAAACATTCTCCAACAATCAATCTCGTACCATGGCGTTAGAAAAACAAATCATTCATATTATTTAAAAAAGAAAAAAAAATAAACAACACATCGTCTGCTGTTCTTCCTTTATTTTACTTTCAAAGTTATTCATCTCTACTTTCTTGATCGTGTGTGTTTTTACACACTACAAAAAAAATAGAAATAAGTTAAAGATAATAAAAAAAAAAAAACTCTGTTTTTGCTTCTCTCTCTCTCTCTCTGTATGTGTGTCTTAGTTTTTCCACTTATACATTCTCTTATATGCGTTTAATTTTGTTCTAGAATCAAGAATAAGTAAAGAACCTATTTACAAACATCTTAAATATCCTTAATACAACAAAAAATAAGTTTTGATTCAAGTGCAGCATATATATGTTGTGGTATTTGTATTCGAAGAAATTTGCAAAGTAAAGTAAATTGTTGTTGTTGTACTTGTGCAAATGGTTTAAGCATTTTTTTTGGTGTATATGTTGGTAATGAACAAGAAACAAGTGCTTGACATAAATCATTAACAAGTAAACGAACATGTTCTGATAATTGATATTGTAATTGTGGTTGTAATTGTTGCATTAATTGTATAGGTAATGTTGATGAATTCATACCAGGTAATAAATAACATCGACGTTCTAATGTAAGTAAAAGTTCAATTAAAATAGTCACTGTATGAGAATTTGTAAATAAAACTGGATCAGAAAATGGACTTGATGATACAGTTGAATTTAACTCAAATAATTTTGATTTGATTTTTTCATCATAATAAATATAAACTTGTGATAATAATTGTTCAAATGTTGTCTTCTTTATATTAACTTGTTGTTGCATAAGACTAATCATATTCATAACAATTGGTTCAATATGAAATGTTGTTGGCCAACGACGTATCATATAATTTAATGAACCATATAAACGTATAAGCATTAATTCAAGATGATTTGTTATTGATGTTGTTGTTATTAAATATGGATATAAACGTTCAAGTAATATTTGACCTTTATTAAATTGTGCAAACATATCAGCAAATAAATAATTAGGATGATTTAAATAACGATCAATAATTGAATCAAGAATTGTTGATGATGGTGGTGTTATTGTTGTTGTACCATCTGATGTATTTGTTTCCGATGGAGTTTTACTTGGTGTTATAGGTGTATCATCATCCTCATCAAGACGTAATACATCACGATGAATATTTTCAATATTTAATAATAAACCTAACGTATATTTATCATGTGTTATAGCATTAGTTCGTGCACCTAATGCAAGTTGACCTATAGAAACAAAGATAATAAAATTTTATTTGAATATATTATATTTAACATTGCTTGCTGATTGAAAAGAAAGATTCTATAGATAGGAGTAAAGCTTATGTAGGTCCATGCGGGATGAACTCTTTTTGAGCAGTCCTGATCGTAATCACAGTAAATCTGATATGTTCCTGTCTTTGGCATGACGCCTTCCCTTGCTTTTGAAAACTATCCACGCAGCGCCTCTTTTTTATTCCGGAACTCAACCGCTTTGCACCCTCCTTCCTTCAGTACTGAGTTACGCTTTTGTCTATCGATTTGCAGTTTTTACCAATAAAAAGAGAAATATGAAACCAAACAGTGAATGCTAATTTCAATAGTCGAGATAGATGCACAGTAGGCATGGCTTATTTTCTATCAAAAAAAAAGTGAAATTCGTAAAAGAAAGATTTTTCGATGTAAAATGTAGGAGGGGATCCTTACCCATAAACTGCTGTCGGAAAATTTTTTATTTTAAAAATTAACAAATTATACATCATTCGATGCAGTTTTTCGTACTGATTTCAAATATATCCTTAGTTTTCCTTTCAAAACCTTTTGGTTGAGACAGCATGTATACTTTTTCCACCAGAGAAACTTTTAGAATAAAGTTTTTCATATAGAACAATAGAGCATGGGCATTTTTTTTAAATCGAAAATTCGGTCATTGGCCAAGGTATATTAGACATTAGTCAAATCGAAAAAAATATCACTTTCATTTTTTCATCAAACGTTCACTGTGATATGAACGCTGGTTTAGAAGTAGTTAAATTTTTGTTAAAGATTTACAAGCTCTTTTTTTGTAAGAGGATCCGAACAGATCTAGAAATGTTTACCGACAAATGTAAAATGTGAAAATATCTTTATTCAATTTACTGTCTCTATCAGGAAGTCATTTGATTGATTATACAACTTATAGAATCTAAAAAAAAAGAGCTTTGCATAGATCGAAAAAGTTTAACACTCTATTGACAAACAAATGGAATTTAAGCCGCCCACTCAGAAATCAATCGTAGGCCAGGCATATTCATTTTCAACTCAATATCACGATGTTTGTCTGCTAATTTCTTACTTTTTATTCGAAGAAAAAGGATGACAAGTTCAATACCTTGAAAAATGGTCATCTGTCTATAGAAGTAAAAACAATTGACTATGGTGGAACTCCTTCGAGAATTCCCAGATGTGTGATGAACAGAGAAAAAGATATCCCGCTTTTTTTTGAAAATAAAGGATATTTTTCAAGTAGATGGTGACAGACTTTTTAACAAAAAACAAATCCAATAACTTTTATTTTACAATAAATAAAAACATACCATCAAGATCGAGAATACATTTTGGATGTCGTGGAGTTGCTACTGATTGTTTACCAAGTTGTGTTGATATTGGTGATGCATATGGTAATGAATGTGCTGGATTAACATTACTAAATGTTGCTTGAATTGATGATTGAGATAAACGTTGCGAAAGTCTCAAAAAAAAAATAAACAAACAAATTAAACAAGAGTATATCTTTTATCATATAAATATTTACTCTTTTTCTTGTTGAATTGATTTTAATAATTGTAACACTGGATAACTAATATATTGTCCTCGATGTTCATGACGATTTGATTGATTACCATGTACTTGTTGCATATGACGTTTTTGTTGTGACCATTTATGAAAATAGTAATCCTATGAGCGAAAAAAAAAGCCAACCAATCAATGAATTTCTTTCGTATATATATATAAATAAAATTTTTCCATACTTCTTCTTGTGTTTGTGATACTTGATGAAGTTGAATTTTAACAACCCATTGTTTTTCACGATCAGTCATCATACCAGCAAATTCGTCATGACCAGAACCACGTCCTTGCCATGTATTAAGAAGTGGTGGTCGAGGATAATGTTTTGCTGGACGATTTTGTCTTGAATGACGTGATGATGATGATGGACTAACAATAGTATCAAGTGGTGATGATGGAGATTCAGTTCTACGATGTTGTTGATGATTATCAATAATAGGTATTTGATCCGAACGTTGAATTGCATCCATAAATTGTGATGACATTCCTGTATTACCAATAGATGGTGATTGAGAACGTGAATTATTAGAATTTGTTGCATTTGCAGCAGTTAAACGAGCTCGTTCCAACATTTCACCTATTGCCATTGAACGCATGGATGCTTCGCGTTGTTGTTGTTGTTTTTGTTGACGTTGAGCATATAACATAGGATTATTTAAAACTCGACTTGGATTTGCTTCATGATAACGATCATGACCATTAATATGCATGTTCATAAGCTATATGAATAAAAAACGATAGATTTTGATATTTCAATAGGATTTAGCATTTCTAAAAGCTGTGTCATTGATTTTCTTTAATAGTTATCAACCACTCCGCGAAATAGAAGATATTACGCGAGGGCTTCCATTATGTCTAAATAATTCCAGTTTTTCAAGCAAAGCCTCATGATTAGACAAGTGGCTACCAACAACCCCCGATTGCCTTCTACAACTGTTCAAGAACAGTCGCAAGTCGATGGCTCTCCAGACACTGAATACTAATGATTAAGAATAATCTCTAGAAACTATTTTTATTTTTTTTTGTCGAAGTCTGGGATCAGGTATTTGAACATCATCATAGATTAGCAAATATATATTCCTTTCTCTCACAATATTATGATATATTGTAGTTGTGTGAGTCTTCTATTGCGACAAGAATAACGGATCACATCTAAGTGTTTTCATGTCCATTCAGAAAAACACCAAAATCAGTTCTCCTTTTATGATGAAAATAGCTGGTTTTAATATTTTCCGAATGAACGCGAAGACGGAAATCGCATGCCGGTCATTTAAACGCATTTTCAAAAATTCTTGTCTGCTTATACATCAATCGGTTATGAAAAAGTCGGTCGTAACAAAAAACCACAAGCAGTATAAAAATCGAAGATAATTTTAACGGATATTTTTATATAAAAACGAAACTTTATTTATGCTGTTTGTGCAGTTATATGCATATATTAGATCTTGTACATGATTTCATTTCCGGGTGTTAACTAATCCAAGAATCTCAGCTTACAAAAGAACCTCGTCAAATGTTTTCTTTCAGTTTCAATAATTTTTTTTTTGTCGATAGATACTATATTGTGTTCTAATAAAATCCTAAAAGAATTTTGGTTCCTATTGAGATTTGATAAAACTATCGAATTCTTATTAGAACACTATTTAGTGTCCATAGGCAAAAAAATCATTGAAATTGGAAGGAAGTAGCTGACGATGTTCCCTCGTTATTAAATACGTAAAATTTCTTATAATTGTTAAATTTTTGTGAAAAAATAAAGATTTCTTACTCTGGCTGCTTGTTGTTGCTGTTGTAATTGTTGTTGTTGTTGTAATTGTATTTGTTGTTGTTGCTGTGCATTTAGAGCATCACGTTGCATTTTTTCCATCATAGCTTGAATATAAATAAGTCTTTCTTGTGGTGGTACTTGTTTATTAATTAACATTTGTTCAAATTGTTTTAATAATTGATAATTTATTTGTTGTTGTGGTAATGTCATTGGTGATATACGTGGAATTTGTTGTTGCTGTTGTGGTTGTTGTTGTTGTTGAGGAAATAAATTTATACGATTATTATCTTGTGCTTGTGATATAGCCATATTAAATAATGGATTTGTTGATGATTGTTGATTAAATGGACCTGGTCGACGATGTATTGACATTGTTGTTGAAAAACGCATTGGATCTTCACCTAATAAAGCATCAATTGATGGTTGTTGAGATTGATCATCATCATCAACAAGTGAAATACCACCGGTATCAGATACATCCGTATCAAAAAATGCGGGTAAACCACTTGATGCATTATCTCCAAGAAATTCCCCATTTTCTCCAAAATCTGATTTGATTTTAATTGTTTCTAAATCACAATCACCAAATGTTTCATCATTTAATACATCAGCTTCTGTATCATCTGATATTGTTGCTCCTGTCATCACCATGTTCAAATTATCATTATTAGTATTCATATTTGTTTTCTATAATAATTTGGAAGCACCACCGGATCAATTTTTTTTTTTTGTGTGATAATATATCAATGTCGACTTATATAAAATGGATGATGTAGAATAAAAAATATATAGGAAAAACACACGCACACACACTCAAACAAAAACAAACTAATAACCGAAAAATCTGAAATAAAAATCCAGGTAAAATTTCATAGAATAGGAAAAACAAGTGAATGAATAAATGAATGACTGAATGAATGGAAAAGAATTATTCTAACTGGTTAAATATGTTTCTTTTAGAAAACGTTTTTATGATTGGTCAATAAAATAAAAATACGAATTAAATTTTTATTTCATAATATTTCAATAAATTACATAAATTTTTCTAAAAATGTAATTATTAATAACAAATATAATTAGTGACATCTATTATTTATTAATGTTTTAAATTTCTACTAAGTCTAAAATTTATTTTTATAATATCTAGAAAAATATGAATACTATTAAAGAACTCGGACAACAAGTAACATCATGTAGAAGGGTCTCATAAAACACTACGATTTGAAAAATATTTTAACCAATGACAAAAAAAGTTGACTCTTAAATTTTGATTTTCTACTAATTGTATGGCATTCACATAACCTATTTAGAACAAGTAATAGAAATTTGGACGTTTCTTACACGTATATTTTAATGCATTAAAATAAACACTGTTTTTCTAAGAAAAAAAGAATTTACGAGGGAATGTCTTCAACTATCAACTTTCGATTTTAATGATTTTTTGCCTACAGGACACTACACTGTTTTCTCATAAAAGAATTTGGATTCCTATTGATATTGAACTAGACTATTGAATTTTTTTTAGAGATCCTCGGGGCCAACCCGACAGGCTCTATGAGAAAGTCTCTCGTTGATGATTATTAAAATTCGAATATAAAATCAAGTTTCTAGGATGATTATAAAAAATCTTTCGTCTTGATTTTAGATGGTGAAAAAGAAAATTGATAATCGTATACGTATATTAATTGAAAATGGAATAAAGTCTTTCAATCGTTCTTTGATCGTCATTGTTGGCGATAAAGGTCGTGATCAAGTAATGTTCTATTTCAATTTTCTTTTTCAATCAATTGAATTTTCTTTAGGTTGTTATTCTTCATCATATGCTTTCAAAAGCTCAAGTTAAAGCACGTCCAACTGTATTATGGTGTTACAAAAAAGAACTTGATTTTTCAACGTTCGTACTTAAATATCCACCATAGGAAAAATTTCTAAATTTTTTCTTCTTTTTTAGTCATCGTAAAAAACGTATGAAACAAATGCGTAAACGTCAACAAGCAACAGGTTCGACTGGTGTTGGTGGTGATGATGATAATCCATTTGAAGTTTTTCTTTCTTCAACACAAATTCATTATACATTCTATTCTGATACACCAAAAATTCTTGGTCGTACATTTGGAATGTGTGTTTTACAAGATTTTGAAGCTTTAACACCAAATTTATTAGCACGAACAGTTGAAACAGTTGAAGGTGGTGGTTTAATTGTTATACTTCTTCAAACAATGCGTTCACTTAAACAATTATATACATTAACAATGGATGTACATGCACGTTATCGAACTGAAACACATCGACAAACTGAACCACGTTTTAATGAACGTTTTATATTAAGTTTATCATCATGTGAACAATGTTTAATTGTTGATGATCAACTTAATATATTACCATGTTCATCAAATACAAGTTTAAATATAGAAGCATTACCATCAAAAACTGAAGAAAATAGTTTAACATTGGAACAAATTGAATTAAAAAAATTATGTTATTCATTAAAAGAAACACAACCGATTGGAAATTTAATTGAATGTTGTAAAACATTAGATCAAGGAAAAGTTTTATTAAAATTACTTGATTCAATAACTGATAAAGCATTTCGACATACATGTTCTATAACTGCATCACGTGGACGTGGAAAATCAGCAGCACTTGGATTAGCTATTGCTGGTGCAATTGCATTTGGGTATAAACATTAAAAAAAAATGATTTTCTCTAAGGATTTTTTATGTGATTCTTGAATTGTTTTATTTTAGATATTCAAATATTTATGTTACTTCACCGGCACCAGAAAATTTAAAAATTTTATTTGAATTTATTTTAAAAGGTTTTAATGTACTTGATTATCAAGATCATATTGATTATGATATACAATATTCATCAAATGATCATAAAGAAAAAAATATTATTCAATTAACTATTCATCGACCTAAACAACATCGACAAGTTATTCAAGTATGTTTTATAATAAACACATAATGAAAATGATTTTTTTTTCGAAAAGAGAAAATTTGGTTCACTGTCTAAAGAATGGTTTTTTTTATGCGTTAGACATTTATCTTATATTTGTATTCATCAAATAGATATTCCTTTAATAGGTTTATAACGGCATAGAATATGTTATTGAATGCTGCAAAAACCATAGTTCTTCTGTTTGATGTTTTTTTCATTTCACGACACGAATATTTTATCAGCTCGTAGAAAAATGTTAGATTTTATTCAGTATGGTGTTTCTACGACCGTGTGAGCGCGCTTAAGTCGTATGCACTAGCCACTTCGGCTGTTTTCGAATTTAATTTAATAAAAATAATCACTAGTTAGAAGACTTAATCAATAGGAAATATGCTGAAGCATATTTAAATCGACTTTTTTTTTTTAGTAGGAATCGACCTCTTCAAGGAAAACAAAGTTGATAGAAAACCATTGTGTATGGTGAGTGCAAGAGCTCTACGTCATGCTAGCCTTCTGTTCAGAGCTGCAGTTAGTATTAGTTGCAGGGAAGATATCCAGCTAGTGAATCGATCACTGGGTAGCGCCCTATGCCGCAAGGTAGCCGAAAAGCAAGGATATTCTTTCTCCCTCTGATGTCTCTCACCTGGTACTCTTTTATGTGTCCTGCCAATTAGACCAATTACTGTATAGGGTGTCATCGATCCAGAGAAGAATCGATGTTCTTTATGAACTGCGATCAACCGTTACTTTTGGTGAAAAATCGACGACATAGGTGTTTGGATCTATAGATAAAAATTACTTAAAGGAATGTTGAACTATATGAAATTCTTCTAAGATTGACTAAAAATGATTGTTTCATTTTTTTTTCTCACTCGATTTTTAATTTTATTCAAAAATTCTATCAATTTAAACGATCGCTTTCTTTTCTACTAATGAAACAACAATTACTAATTATACTCGTTAGTGAGGTTCCTAACAAGATTTTAACTTGAAAATAGAAAAATATAATAATGAATTCTTTTGTGTCTTTTTTTTTCTTCAGTATATTCAACCGAATGAACCATCACGTCTTAGTCAATGTGAATTATTAATAATTGATGAAGCAGCAGCAATACCACTTCCACTTGTAAAACAATTATTAACTGGTGCAAATTATTTAATATTTCTTTCATCAACAATTAATGGATATGAAGGTACTGGACGATCACTTTCATTAAAACTTCTTGAACAATTACGAAAACAAAGTGCTGTTTTAACAACAGCAACAAAAACAACAAAAACAACAAAAACAACAACAAATAATCGTACATTAAATGAATTAGAATTAAATGAACCAATTCGATATGGTATTAATGATCCTATTGAATTATGGCTTAATAATCTCCTTTGTCTTGATTGTTGTCAAGATCCATCAAAATTCAAGTAATTTGAAAATTATTTCTAATAAACTAAGAGAGTATTCCTAAGAAACTGAGACGTTGATCTAAATTTACATTTTTAATATCTATGGAAAAGGCTATGGTCTAAACCTATCAGACCCAAATTTTTAGATCATTTCGATGTTTTATAGTAAAGTTAGTCTTGATCGGGGTTTCAGTATTACCTACCTACTATGAAGAAAATAGTGATTAATTATCTCATACATGTCTACTAGGATGAAACTTCCACAAGTCAAAGAATTCTTTCATACAATATATCAAACGATATATTATCAACAGTTGAAAAAAATGAGATATTTTAGATATTATATATTGCTTGTTTATTAATTCAACATGAGTGGGAAAGATCACAATTTAGCAGTCTATAATATTCGTTTGTTGACATTATATCTACTGCTATTTTTTAAAATCAAATGATGTCAAGCTGAGTTTTTGATATGTTATACAACTTTTCATTCGCTACAAAATAGTAAAAAATTTACTTTCAAGGCAATATGAGGCTGACACTATTAATGGATAGGCAAACAGCTTCAAGGAAAACAATCTCAGGCACTTTTCACTGTCATTCATTCATTTCGGAGAAATTAGAACTTCATCCTAACTAGAATAAAAAAAATTTTTTTTTTTTTGAAATTGTATAATAATTACTTATATTGAGAAAGCATGGTGTACTAGTAACAGCCATATGATTGAAGTTCATTCTCAACCGTTATCTGATATAGCACTATTCACAAGAGAACCTCTTCAGGTGTCAAAGTCGATCAAGGCTAACTTGACTATAGAACATCGAAATGAGTTAAAAATTTGAGTTTGATGATGACCCATCGTATGCATATAAAAAATTAAAATTTTGATCAATGCTTCGGTTCCTTGGCACACACACATTCTCTCTCTCTCTTATGAGCATTCTCTTAATTAATTAATTGATTTTATTTTTAGTAAAGTAACTAGTAGTGGATGTCCATCACTTGAATCTTGTTCACTTTATTGTATATCACGTGATACATTATTTTCATATAATGAATCATCAGAAAAATTTTTACGTCGTTTAATGTATTTATTTGTTTCATCACATTATAAAAATTCACCAAATGATCTTCAAATGTTATCTGATGCACCCGGTCATGATATTTATTGTTTACTTGGACCAATAATTGATTCAAATCAATTACCAGATATATTATGTGCTATACAAGTTTGTTATGAAGGCGATTTATCAAAAGATATTGTTGCACGACAATTAACACATGGACAACGAGGTTCTGGTGATCTTATACCGTGGACTATAGCACAAACTTATCAAGATTATACATTTGGAAAAATGTCTGGTGTTAGAATTGTTCGTTTAGCAACACATCCTGATTATCAACGAATGGGTTATGGAACAAAAGCCATACATTTATTAGAAAAATATTTTCAAGGACATATTGTTAATATTGATGAATATAATAATCTTGAGGTAGAATATTAAAATCAAATTTATTGAAGTTTAAATGATTCGTTTTTGGTCTCTGACACAGACACATTGGCGCCACTGTTCGTTGAAGTACTGAAACATACCGCTACAAAAAGAGTATATTTTGATACAGTTGAGTGAGAACGGATGTCGTGTCAATGACTCACTTGTCAGTATTTACATCAACGTTGGACATACCTAATTTTTAGTTTTATGTGTGTTAGCAATCTGAAATCTATTGAAATTATTTCTCGATAAGGATTTAATGAACATTAACATTTATTCAATAAGAGTTTAATTTGTAAAATTCTTAACTTAAACTCACCCTATGACAGTTCAAAGCTCTGCATAGAATCTTTTATGCAATACGATCCAAAAAGGAGTATTGAAGTATAGAGATAAAAATTTGAACCTTCTCCCTCGCAGACAGTGACAAACATTGTTGATATACAATCACATCCGTATATCTCGTTATGATATATAGTATACTTAAAATAGATAGACTAAAACAAACACCCTATGATTAACAATATTTATTTATTTATCTTTTATGTGTTAACACTTTTAAAAATATAATCTAAATTATTTCATAAATTATTAATCTTTCGTTGTAGTCTTCATCATCACCAAAAGCTGATCAAGTTGAAATAATTGATGATGATGATTTACCATTACTTAATGAAAAACTTCATCCACGACGAGGTCTTCCACCATTATTAGAAAAACTTAGTGAACGTCGTTTAAAACATTCAATTGATTATCTTGGTGTATCATATGGTCTTTCAGCTGATTTATTAAAATTTTGGAAAAAAAATCAATTTTTACCTATATATCTTCGTCAAACAGCTTCAGAACTTACAGGTGAATATTCATGTATAATGCTTAAAACAATACATCAATCAAATCAAGCACCATGGTTATTTTCTTATTATCAAGATTTTCGTCGTCGATTAATATCATTACTTGGTTTTCAATTTCGAATTTTTACACCAGGCATGGTACTTAATTTAATTCAACAAGCTGTTTATCCAGAAATAAAAGAAGGTTTGTTAAAAATTAATTTCAAATGAATTTATTTAATATTTCTGTTTTTTTTTTGTTTTGTTCATATTTATATTTATAGAATTTACAGTTTCATTAATTGAACAAAATTTTACTGATTATGATCTTCGTCGTTTAGAATCATATACAAGAAATTTAGTTGATTATCATTTAATTCTTGATCTTATTCCAACACTTGCAAAATTATTTTATTTAAATCGTCTTCCGATACAATTAACTGTTGTTCAAATGGCATTATTATCTGGTATTGGACTACAATATAAAACAATTGAACAACTTGAAAATGAACTTAATTTACCACAATCACAACTTTTAGCTTTATTTAATAAACTTATTAAAAAAATTATTGATGTAAAATTCATCTTTTTGTTTTTTTTTTGAAATAAGAATTTTGTTCAACTTTTTTTTTCTTTTTGTATTTTAGTTAATCAATTCAGTACAAGAAAATGAATTAGGAAAAACATTTGTCAATTCATTAGATACTGCTAATATGCAACCATTAGATAAATCACTTCGACAAGAATTGGTTTGTTAAATTTGAGTTTATTTTTTTATTTGAAATTATTTTGCGAAACATCCCACATAAAAGGAAGAATACTCCTGCCTTGTGGTACGAGGTGTTACCTAGAGGCAGATTCTATAGCCCGATGTCGTCCCTACAACTAATACTAGTTGTAGTTTTGAACAGAAAGTCAGCCTAACGCACAGTTCTTGCACTCCACATACACATTAATTAAACACAACAGTAGTTGTATGTCACAACGTAGTCAGCATGCTATCGGACACGTGATTCGAGATAAATAGCTGTTAGTAACTTGTCCAGGGTCATGCCATAGCTGGTGGTATTGAGGTTTGAACACAGAATCTTGTGTAATATGCGTCAGACAACTCACCCATTCATAGGAGAACTACTGTAACTGATAACCGCCGTTTGACTTCATATGGAATCCACAAATAGGCCTCAGTGAAAATAGTAAAAGCCTTGAACAGTTCGTCTCCATAGGTCTTTGAGATCAAATTATGACCAGTTTATTGGATTTTCGACCCATTCTAGGTACTTTTTGAAAAGTGACAAAACGGAGTTTCAATCCAAAATGTTCCCCCATAGATACGTATATTGACTTTTAAAATATCTCGAAAGTTTCAACCGAACAGAATGTTCTTTGGTCGAATTTTGTGACACGTCTATAGTTCATTAAACCTATCTATTAGCAAAACTTCAGATCGAAACATCATAATTTGATTTTTGAGGAACAACCTATATAAGAGTAGAAAATCCCATAGACTGGCCCTAACTCGACTCTAAAAGCCCATGGAAACGAACTCTTTTAGGTTTTTACTATTCTCGCTGAGACCTGTCTGTGGGTGCAATATGAGCTCAAACAGTAAGTGTCACTTGGGGTAGTTCCTTCATTAGCCGTAGCGGCTCTGATTTAAAAGGAGTGTTGAAATATAGAGGTAAAAGTTTGGACCCACCTACCCTTTCCATAATAGACTGTGACAGATGTTATTGATATACGATCAAAGACCATATATCAATAACGTCTCGTGACTACTTATTGCATCGTTAGCAGACTAAGTAAAAGAATGATGAATAAATGTATTCCAAAGTTCATAGAATAAAGCAATATCCTTGTGATTAGCATGCACAGCTCAGTTGTCTTTCATACTGAAATCCCGCAGGAATTGCACTAATAGCTGTTTGTTTTTCTTTGAAATGTAGAATGAAGTTGCTGCAACAATTCGTATTCGTCAATCAGAAGAATTAGATCGATTAATGCATGATCAACAATTAACAAAATATGCTGTTAATGGTAGTGAAGAAGTTTGGAAAGGAGAATTGAAAAATATATCTGATCCAGGTGTAATTTCAATACCACGGTTAGTTAAAAATAAAATTCATATTTTTTTTTATTTTACCACTTTTTTGTGTTGTTTTTTTAGGACATTAAACAAACGAAAAGATATTGAAATCGAAAGTCATTTCGATTTGTCGAAACAGAAATCAAAAAAGAAAAAAAATAAAAAAAAATAAATTTTTATTGTTTTGAAAAAACATATTCGTTTAATGTGTATGTTTTTTTTTGTTCTGAGTTAAGAAAATAAAATTGTTGGAGACTGATTCCGGAAAAAGAAACCATAAGATATTGTTATTAAATATTGATCATTTGTTTTGATCCGTAGATTTAGTTTCTTTTACATGGCGATGAAAGAAAAACTTGAAATTCCGTCTCCACCTACTTTTTCTCAAATGATGGAAGATCTGGAAATTATGTCATCAGATGAAAAGATTTTTAAATTATTACAATTCGAACAATTGGCAGAGCAAAGTAAACAAGACGGTATAGAAAAATAATGAATTTTCTTTTTTGTATTCTTACGTTGATTCTATCGAGTATGGACTTTAGTTATACAATTAATTTGTAATTAATAATTCTAATATTCAAATGAATAGAAAGAAGGAAAGAAAAATAATTTGTTTCTCTTATGAAAAGAAAGCTATTTTTTTTCGTATCTCTCACAATCTATTCTTAAGTAAGAAACAACAAGTCTCATACCAAAAGATAGGATCAGTTCATGTTTTCTTTCGAACTAAATCAAATCGAAACTTACAGACAAGTTAACAAACGCTGTTAGCACCATCTCTACGAGATTGAAATGTGAAACACAATGTAGTTGCTCTTGCTAATTATAGAAAGATTGTTTTATTTCATCTATTTTGGGACAAATTGTTTCATCATTCTTTTATTTAATCCTCTAGAAATGCAATCAAGAAGTAGTTCATATATTATAACGAAATGCTATTGATATACGGTCTGTGAAACGAGAGGAGGAAGGTGTTGCTAAACTGATTAACGAATCACATACTTTATTGTATGGGATAATACTAATATTCTAACAGAAATCAAACATAAGTCAAGAGATAAAAAGAAGAAATTTATAAAGTGTCATTTTTTTTTCGTTTATCAATTGTAAATGATAAACCATCTAAGTATTTCATAGCTTTTATCACACCATCATAATATCGTTCGCCAAGATTGTTCATACTATGTTGAATTGCAATGAAATAGCTGGTGATTATGAGTGTCTTAAGTCTAGTGAAGATGAAACAGCTGCAGGTATGACAATAGAATTTTAGTTGTATAATAGTTTTTTGTACAACTCTTTTAGCTAATTTATATCAGATAATACTCAGCACTCTTACTACTGGTTACAAATCCAGATTAGTAGAGTTATAGGAAAGATAATAATGAATTCTAGGTGTTTAGAGTCACTATTTACTGAAAACATCATATTTTTCGATATTTTTTCTTCGACGTGTTTTCCCAGTACACCAATGTGTCTCTCATGGTTTGTGGAGAATGGGTGCAAATTTTCTACTCTGTATACTTCAATAATCCTTTGAGATCGAGTTTCACGAAATGTATAAGAGTATCAAATTTAGATAGAATCAGTTCGCGTTTTTTTTGGAATTAGAATCGATTCCACCTCTGCTTTATACTTAATACACTAGTTAAATATTCATTTAAAGATAATAAAGAATAGTATAAATTCGTTAGAGATGTAAGCCGTTAAGAGAACAGCTCTATCAAAAGAACTTACGGTCTTTGAGAATATTTTGATGCTGAACATAACAATTAAAGACTTGTTATAACATTGTGTTGAAGAGTATAATAGATGATCGGAGAGTTTTCAAACAAGATATTTGTTCACTTTTAATCCTCTAGAAAGTATTTTCGACGAGTTAAAAGTTATAATTTTGTGCTTTTTTCGAATATGGACTTAAAAATCTTCTTTCAGTTTTTGTTAAAGAATAATGAAATAATCTTTGAAAAGCTCAAAAAATTAGTTTGGACGGAAAATTTTTGTATTTTCATTATTGCGATTCGAAACTAAAAGCTGGGATCTTTATTTACATATCAGATTGTAGATCAAAAGTTACCCTACACAATGAATTATTTTAATTTTTTTTTGTCTTTCGACAAAGCACCTCAATTTTCATTCTTATTAAATATTCATTTTTGAAAAATCGACAAGTGTTTTACATTGAAAGAAACTCTTGAAAAATGCGTAAGCAAGAGCTACACTTAGTTCAATATCACATTTTATAGAGAAATATTCGCTCTAGAAAATGACCGACTTCGACAAGACACAATATTTCTAAGCTCATATTCAAATTCTGATCGCGATCTATAATTTTTGACTCGTCTGAAATGTTTTCAAGGAAGCCAAAAAAAAACAAACATGTTTATCAGAAACGTTGGCGCACAAGTATCTTGTCTAAAAACTTTCCGATCATTATTTATTAAAATCAGAATAATTTATCTATGTTTGTATTATTTAGAAACAACGAATCAAAATACAATTGAACAGACTTATCAACTTATCAATGAATTTCTTGCTCGATTAGAAACATTACAACGTCTTGATACAAGTTTAACAACTCAAAATGATACAACAAATGATCAACTTGAAAAAAAACTTAAAGATATTATTGAACAGCTTCAAATGTGTTTGAATAAATTACAAACTAACTCTTTTTCGAATACAAAAACTGTTTTATCTGATAATAAAAATTGATAATGTAATTTTTATTAACAATAGAAAACAAAAACAAAAAAAAAGAATAAAATCTTGTTTTTTATTTTGGTTTCATTATACACTCAAAAAGAAAATCGACAGTAAACATATGAATTGATAAGAACGAGCAAAAAAGAAAACGTCAGCTGTAAACACCTATCACATATAAATCTTCTATGTGCTATAGAGAGTAATCATTAGGAGATAAAAGAACATCAATTTGTTTTTGCTTCATTTTATATCAGCAAACAAAAAAACACAGGTAATTTACGTGACATTTTATTTATCGAAAAGAGATTTTTTTTTATTGTAAAAAGGAAAATATAAAGATTCTTTTTCTTTTTTGTTTCCGTATAGTAATCGATTTTAAATATATCTTGAAATCTTTTCAATAAAATTATTTATAAATTTTACGAATATTAATTCATTGATAATACTTTAGAATGCGCAATGTAGCTATAATTGGTGGTGGTGTTTGTGGTTTAATATGTATCAAATGTTGTTTAGATGGTGGTCTATCACCAACATGTTATGAAATGACAAATGATATTGGTGGTCTTTGGAATTACAATAATAATTCAATTGATGGTAAAGCAAGTGTAATGAAATCAACTGTAATTAATACATCAAAAGAATTTATGGCATTTAGTGATTATCCTCCACCAATTGAATATCCAAATTATATGCATAATACAAAATTATTAGAATATTTTCGTATGTATGCAACAAATTTTAATCTTATTAAATATATTCGATTTCAACGACGTGTTACACGTATTCAACCTGCTGATGATTATGAACAAACAGGTTGTTGGTTAATATATAGTATTGATGCAGAAGAGAAAAATAATGAAACATGTGAAAAATATGATGCTGTTATGTTAGCAACTGGACATCATGCATATCCAAGATGGGCAAATTTTCCTGGATTAGAAAATTTTAAAGGCATGTATTATGATGATTAAATTACTGGAATGAGTCGTTTGAAAGTTTGGAGAGAAAATGTTTTTCTTTTCGATCGATTAAAAGGAACAAAGGAAATTTTAATGTCTCGAATTTGAATCAGGATTTGTGTTCTTTTCGAACTTTTTTTTGCGAAGACCCGTAGATTAGAGATAATGAGTACATCTCTGAAAGATTCGAATAAGGTAAAAATAAAATTTATTCCAAATACATTAAAAGAGAGAATAAATATTTTTCTATAGAATGATATGCTAATCGTTAGTTTTCTATAATTCGTCTATTAATAATGAGAGTGTTGATATGAAAGATACAATAACATTTCTCTAATACCTTGATTTCCAGACTTAATAGAACCAACTTGATCATTTCTAAAGGATTTCTGCGAGATCCTCAGTTTTAAGAGCACAGTCTCGCACTTTATTATGTGCAAAAACAATCGCCAAAACACGTATGTACTAAGGAATACAATTACGGAAAAAGAAGTCTATTGTATAGGTGCAGATCCTGAAAGAATACGATAGAACTCATTTCAAACGTGATACAGTCATGTTCTTCATCTCTGAATCTGTTGGTGCAACTGTTTTTCGTCTAAAATTTATAACTTCTAACGTATGAATCTCACAAAGATTCTGAATTTAAAGTGGATTAGAAAAGTTTAAGACTCTTTTAATATTTTGGTGACTGTATTGTTATCGAAAAAGAGACAATTTTCAACAATATATCATTAGATATAGAATTAAATGAGTTACTGTTACGGTATATTTTTATTACATACATCTCGACTTTATCTATTCTCTTTTCTTTGATACTTTCGTTTCTATTGCTTTTTTTTGACCTTGATTAACCTTTGTATTCTTTTCTATGTTGTCCTTGTTTTTCATGTGCATATGTAAATGTTTGGTTTCTCAAAGAATAAATAGAGCGAGAAGAAAATACGTACATCTTTAATCATGTTCATTGCTCTATATGAGTGCAAATTCCAATAGATAAATTTTAGAATAAAAAATTTTTGAAAAATTATTAATTACTAACTAGAAAGAAATGTTTTGTTATAAATTTTAATCTTCAAATACACTTTTAGAATAGGCTTGAACAGAATTCGAACCTATATTAAGTAGCTCGGGTTCGGTCTGTTTCGATTTATCTTGTTGATGGTTTTCTAAATTTTGTCTTCTCATAAGTATTTTATTTATTTATTTCTTGTTATACATCAATAACACTGTGTTGTTTGTACTGGTAATTCGTTCTTATACAATAATAGTTGTGTTCAAAGAAAGTACAGTTCAAAATTCTGTTTGCATATACAATAATTTCTATATGTCCACGACAGAAGTATGTTAAATTTTAACATCGAGATTGACTGTTTTCTTTACCGATATTTCTTTAATTTTAAAAAACATTGATTAGTTAAAAAAGATTATTTGAAGAAAGTATGTCATTCAATTGAATGAAAATAAAAGAATATTTGAAGAGAACATCGTCAAGAAACAACATATCGAGTTACATACTTTAGACTAAAGTATGTGCCCGAGCTATTTCAGTTCGATACATGTCTATGTTTTAAAGATCATCACAAACGGAATAATACTATATACTTTTGTTTTGCAATAACTTTTTATAACAGGATGTTTTTAAATATTAATTTAAATTTAATTAATACTCCGTTAGTAATTAAGAAACGTGAATTCTAATCATAGATTTCAGAACATGAAAAATTAGTGCATTTTGTAGAGTAGACTTTGTTTTGTCAAATGAGATCTTGCACTCATCTGTATGATGTATTCATCATCTGATACAACACTTTTATCTTTCATCACTAATTTCAATGGTGATTTTCAAATATTTTGCTCTTGATTCATACTTTAATATTTTCAGAGTACTATATCTGGTGAGGGAGGAATACATTGTACAGAAGAGTACAAGATCTCATTTGACAAAATAAAGTCTACTCTACAACATGTATGATTTTTTCAAGTTCTGAAGTCTATGATTAGAACTTGCTTCTTCTAGTAATTAATAATTTTTTATACTAAAATATATCCCATTCAATTCTACATCTCATGAAATATTTTTGAAAATGATCTCTTTTTCGATAACGATATAATCGCTGAAATACTAAATGTTTCTTAAACTTTTGCAGTCCACTTTAAATTCTGAATGAGCACCGAATTGTGATTCTAACCGAAGATTTTAAAATTTCTATTGATCCTTTATTAAATCGGCCGAGAAATGAAGAGCAATATTTCGTGTGAAAATTTTCGGATCATCCATTATTCTTATAATCAATATATTTAGGTCAAAAACTTCATAGTTGGCAATATAAGACTTCACATGGTTTTGAAGATAAAAATGTACTGGTTATTGGTATTGGTAATTCCGGAGGAGACTTAGTTGTTGAATTAGGTCGCGTTGCCAAACAGGTATTCATAATGAGATTATTATTTTTTGTTTTTGTTTTTTGATTCCTATTTATTATTAATCAAAAAAAAAACAAAAGGTTTATTTGAGTACTCGTCGTGGTACATGGGTATTGAATCGTATTGGGCCTAATGGATGGCCAATTGATTTGGTAACAACAAATGAAGTTATGAGTGCAATTCAAAAATATTTTCCTTCATTAATCAATTGGCTTCTGGAAAGAGATTTTAATAAAAGATTTAATCATGAAACTTATGGTCTTAAACCAAATCATCGTCCTCTAGGTTAAAACTTCATATTTATTGAATATCTATGTTTTTTGTTTTTCTTTATACAGAACAACATCCATTTCTGAATGATGACTTAGCTAATAGAATTTTATGTGGTTCTGTTATAATTAAACCTAATATTAAAGAATTTACAGCTGATGGTCATGGTGTTATATTTGATGATGGTTCTAAAGTTGATCATATTGATTGTGTTCTTATGGCAACAGGTTTTAATATTGCATTTCCATATTTAGATGAAAAATTTTTAGCTGTCAATGAGAATAGAGTAAGAAGAAAAAAAATTATTCAAAAGAAAAATTTTGAATATCAGAAAATGTTTTTTTTTGTTATAGGTTCGACTTTATAAATACGTATGGCCATCTCATATGACTCATTCGACACTTGCTGTTATTGGTCTTGTTCAACCATGGGGTGCTATTAATCCTGTAGCAGAACTTCAAGCACGTTGGGCTATTCAAGTATTTAATAGTGAATTAAAATTACCATCACATTTAAAAATGGATGAAGATATTGATGAGAAATTTCATGAATTATCACAACAATATATTGCATCACCACGACATACTTTAGAAGTTCGTCATGGAGATTATTGTAATGAAACAGCTGATAAAATTGGTTGTCGACCAAATATATGTAAGATAGATAAATTGAACCTATTCAATAGCTTTTCTTTTTTTTCATTTTTAGTAAATTATCTAATAAAGGATTTTAAACTTGGTTTGCTTTTACTATTTGGACCATATACACCATATCGATATCGTTTACAAGGTCCAAATAAATGGGAAGGTGCACGACAAGCTATTTTGACACAATTTGAAAGGTAAATAATATTATTTATTTTGATATTTTTATTTACATTTTATTATATAGAGTTAAATATCCATTACGTGTCAGCCGTAAACAAGAACAAAATCAACAAAAGAAATTTGCAATAAATTGGACACCAATGTTTTCAATTGTATTTTTAATATTAATTTCCTGTATTATTTTTCAATGCTTTATGTAATTGTTAAGTAGAGAACTTTTGAAGACTATTAGAAGAAATATTTTTAATCAATTTTAAAAATTTATTGAAAATATCTTAGAAAAATAAACATACTTTTTATTTTTGAAAAACAATCTATCGTGAAAAAGAGATAAAAGATCACAATCATGTCTAATTTACAATTTTAATAGAATCTGCAACTTATCAGAGAATGTTTCTAAGTGTTAAATCGCTTTTGAGTAATGCGCTAAAATAACTACCATAGTTGTATCTTAGAATAAAAGTAATCACAAGATCTGAAGCTTATATAATAAGCTATTCTTATTAAGGACTTATCTCTATGCAAAGTTTCAAGTCGAAACTCGGAACTCAATTTTTTTTGGTATTTCTAAGGGGAACCACGGTATTGTGCCATAAAATACCGTAAAAATGCGGTACTTTGCCAATAATAAGCTACCCAGGTGAAACAAGCCCGGTCGTAAACGGCCGTTTTTGACCGTATTTGACCCGTTTGGTATGCACCGTATTACGGCCGTATATCGCCGTGTCGTAAACGATCGAATACGGGATTTTCCAACCGTTTTTCACCGTTTCTAATCTTATACGGCACGGTGATATACGGTCGTATTACGGCGCATACCAAACGGGTCAAATACGGGCAGTTTACGGCCGTATACTTATCATTAACGGTCGTTTACGACCCGCTCACGGTCATCGTAATGCTGGACCTGGGTATTAGCCCGAACTTTTTTCACGGTATTCATAGCTTACGAGAACTTACATGATGTACATAGTCCCAACTTAAAAGCGGTTTGACACTTAGATATGTCCCCTCGTTAGACTTACGTAAGGGAAAGATACGAAAATGGAATTTGTTTAATTTACACCATACGATTATTAAACAGTATTCTTAAATGTAAGACATAACCTTGACTGTACTTATGTTGTAACGAAAACTTTTCTCAACATATAGAAAACGTCTGATGATTTATTTCACGGAAAAGCTTCATTTGTAATGGAACATTTTTTGAGGTATCATGACGCATCTTAAAAAGAATATACCAGCTTTTTCAGATAAATTAGAAAATTAAGATGATGTGAACCACGAATCTACTTGCAAAAAAAGACCATTCCTTGGTTTTTTGTTAAGCTCTGTTGAAATACAGTAAGAAGAGAATATTAAAGAACTCAAGAATGCCTTTGATACTGAAGTTAATAGTTGAGTAAATTTATACAGAAACTAATGCATTCATATGTTCAGTTTAAATATCAAGATATTTATATATTTAACTATTGAATTTTTCGATCTATTTATGTAAATGTTCAAGAAACTAAGGGACAACGGAAAGAAACTCACAGGACATCTTCGAAACTCAAGAATAGACGATAGAAATGATTTTATTTCAATTTTGTTGATAACTATTCATTTTTCGATTTATTTTTTTTAATTCCGCAATGCTCAAAAGTTTAGAATTTATGGCAATCGGTGTCATGTCTCACAATACATCTTTTTCATTAGTAAAGTCATGAAACGAACTTATATCAGCAAATTGTTTGATTGTACTCATGCATGAATCAACACTCAACAAGAATCATTCAAAATATTTGAAGTTATAATAAAGAGTCAAGAAATTATGACGATTACTACTGTAGTTGAAACATATAAATCAAATGAAAATAAAATCATAAGTAGATTATTGAAGAGTATCGAATTCACCATTCGACTTTTCTTGGCAAGAGTAAATACGGATTAGTGATATGCATTGATTTCATTTCAGTTATATATATATATATATTCATCAATTACAATAGGACATAAGAACGATTGATCAAACGAATAACAAGTATGCCATTACAAAGGTTTATTTAGTGAGTATCCTTCGTAAAAGTCACGCTAACCCTGACTAATTGGTTGTTATTGTCTTGGTATTCACTATTCCAGAAGAAGAAGAAGAAGAGGCGTGTTTGTCATGTAGAATAGATTTCATTCAAAGAAGAACATAAATCAATAAGAGTGAATGAATACCATCGCTATTGTGTTCGCTTATCGACTCATCTTGATTGACAGTTGTTCTTCTAAGCCTTCTTGATTTGACTGATATGATTTACTCTGAAGACTATTCAGTCGAACAATGACATTTTTCATTTGATTACAAGAAGAAATCTAAGTAATATTTAAAAAAAAAATATATATGAAAACAACCATACATTTAATAAAATGTTTAGATGTAAACTATTAATGTGAATGAATTTGAGAAACAAGTTATCCATCTAATCAACGATTTACGATAAGAATTAGTCTATTTTACTGATAAATTGATTCGACATACTTCTCTAATGTTCATTTTAGGTCTGTAAGTGAATATTTTTTAATAAAAGACAATAACAAGTCATCTCCTTAACTGTCTGCATCAGTTAAGATCTTACAAAGAGAAGGCCTTTTAGTATTGTAATACACTTATGATTACAGCTCTTTCTGGCTTTACAAAATATTTTTGATCAATATTAAGTTAGTAAAGAAGAGAAAATTTTTGCATATTCTCAAAAAATGTTGTTTTTTTGTTTACAAGTTTTGTAATGAAGTGAAAATGAAAATAAAGATAAGTAATATATTTGAATCATTTCTTCTTTATCACGCATATTATTCAAATAAAAAATAAAATGGCAAGATTCTATACAAAACTAGATAGTAAAGTGCTGTTCGAAACCAAAATTTCAATCTTACAATAGAAAAAAGAAATAAATAACCATATACTTCTTTTCATATGATTCATGTTAAAATGTAAATCTCCAAAAATATTCCATTTCACTTTATTTGCGATCTATCTCAACAAATAAACATTCTTTACAATGAAAAAAAAAAAACAATGAATAAATAGAAATTAAAAAATATGTTTCATATTATCGTATGATTACTATATGAAATATTCAATAGCATTTACATAAGACATATAATTACGTTGACAAGTATTGCTCTGTTTAGAATGGAGCAATTATTTATTTACGTGTGTGTTTCACGAATTATCTATTATGGATAAATGCGTTAGATATTGAAGTAAATATTTAGTAGCATTAGCACACTCAGTCGATGAAGAGATGCTCTTTGAACATGCATCATTGAATGAGTTTAGACAGTCCTGAATATAGAGAGAATTTTCAATTAGATGTTTACGAATTTCCAAGAGGTATGTCGAGAACCATTCAGTGTTGAAGAAGTATCTTAAGTAGATTTCTGCTAACTTGTTCAAAGCCTTTCAGAATTGTTTTTGTAATAAAGATTATAATAAGAGACGCGAAACAATGGAAAGAACTGTGTTTTCTTTCGAACTTTATGTCTTGTAGTCCAATCAGACTTTCTTAAGATAAGTTACTCCAACTCTCTTATGTTTATCTTAAAAACTATTAAATCTTATTGTAAATCAACAAAATAGATGACATATTATGAATGTACTGATCGCTCTGTTTCTTGCTGTATTTTATGTTCTACAAATCTCTTCGTGTCACTTGTATCAACGATGTAGTTCTATTCCCATGGTTCTATATATCAATAATTCTTATTTCTGCTTTTTTATTTGTTATTTCTCTCTAAATGTTCTTTTACTGTACTCTAAGGACCTAAAGATAGCTAGTTATTGCAAAATAATAAAAAAAAGAAATGTGAATTATCTTATCTGTTTTTTTTAATTTAGTTTTTTTGTTGATAATGATCAAGAATATCAATAGGCTATTTAGTTCTCTTACACCATATACCAACTACATATAACTACTAACAAATGTTTTTAATGTTTGATGAAAAATTGATATAATTAAAAAAGAGTATTACATATGAAAACTACAAGATGATTTTCATTAGGTTGCACTCTAAGTCAGGAAAGGGAGAGCAAACTAATTTTTATGCTAAAAATAATTAGAAACTACCAGAAATTATTATAACGTCTTAAGGATGCGAATCATGACTAGAACTAGTTAAAAATTATCAGGAATCACTCTAAATTAGAGAAAATCTCTAGTAAAAAGATTAAAAGTAAAAGCCTGATTTCTAATGATTGCTCTTCATTTCCAAGCATTTTTCAATGATTTCTATTGATTCACGATGAAGAAATAAAAATTGATTTCCAATGATAGAAATCAGTTTGTTTTCCCTTGATCTAAGCAAAATATCTTTATTGATTCTCACAGATTCTGATAGATCTTACAAATCCCAAGATCCGCTTGTTTCGTCTTGATGATTTCCGATCACTATTATGATAACTATAACAATACACACGATAGCTATTTTTATTACTACTAGCACTACGAATAAGAGTAACAACTCAGTTTTTGCATCATAGATTATGTGAAGAAACATAATAAATCTGGACATTTAAAATTACTTGTTATTATTCTATTTCATATGTGGAATTTTGTTCGATTGCTTGGTATATTTGTTCTCTTTTCCTTTTATATTAAGAAAATATATGCTCTAACGACTAAATTGCTCATTGATGATTATTTAATTGATATCGAACATAATACTTTCATTGGCGGAATCAATTAATGAACGTCAAAAGATTGGTAAACAAATTTATTTGAGTACTCTTGATTCGAGTACATGATTTTGCTGTCCGTAAATTACATCAAAAATATATTCTGCTTAGCCGTTTTCTTATAAGAAGAATTACTTTCTGTTGAATCTTTAAACGAAAAGTAATATGCAAACGAGTATTGAAGATAGGTGTCGGATGAAGGTGAGGGGTTAGAGTATAATGAAGATATTCACCTTAACCTATACTCACCTTACATTTACCTTCATGTTCATTCAACACTCACCTTGGCCATTCATTGACTCTTTTCTTTTCGTCCAAATAATCAATGGAGTGTGAATTCCCATATAAAAATTACGACTAATTGGTATCTATTTTTATATAATAAATGAACAATAGAATGTGCCAATCTTCTTAAATATGTGCTAGAAAAGCGTTAATATCTTCAAATTATTGTAATATTTTAAATTCAATATACTATTGAACTTCAACAAGATCATTTCTTTGTTTTTTTTGGCTACTATGGCATCAAAACTAAATTGAACAAGAACTCAATCGTACCAATCATTATGCCTATGCTTTGACCTTTGTATATATTTACCCTCATATGATCCTTGCAATATGTCTCACAATTAAATGATCATGAATCATTTAACAAGAATGATAAATTCATTAGGTTTTTTTCTTTGCTTCATTACATCAAAACAGTCATTGAATCATACTAGACGTTTGACATGAATACAAATCAACCTTTGACGATTGTATACTTCTTTAAATACCTTCTTATATTTACTTTATCAATGATTAATATTTCTTTAAATAGATGTCATCATTCTCTTCTTTACTTGAATTAATAAAATCTATAAAAATTTTCATTGTAAATTTAATTATATAAAACAATTCAAAGAATGAAACAAATACTTTTCTATATGAATATTTTATTAATATATTGAAGGAATATCAATGGTAAGAAATTAACTTAAAGTAAAACTATTCAATTCAAGATAAAATAATGAATGTTAGTCACGCTCACATTACGCGACATATTGCATACACATATATCAAAATATTGATTGATAATGCAACTGAACTTTATAATATATAATATTTATGTTTCAAAAATGAAATATAACCATGGACGGACTGATCAAAAGACATTCAATCATTTATTTCTATTACTTATTCTTTTCTCAAAACAAAAAGAAAATCAATTATAAATTTTTACAATATGACACAATGATTGTATTATATTGTGGTTGATTTTTTTGTTTTGTTTCTTCGATAGAAACTTATTCAAAAAGAAAATATTCTTGATTGATATTTTAGTATTCAGATCAGTGATCAAAATAAAAGTCTTAATGCTTTGATTAGTTCCCAAGAGAAGGCTTTTTTTTGTTTTTCTCAGATTATTACAACCTTCAACTGATCAATTGTTTCGATATTGGTTTCATATTCTGATTATATATCTGAATATAGATACGAAATAAATATGCACATCGATCATTCATTCTTTCATTTAACGTTATGTATATATTTCATAACAAATGGTGAACGGCTGTGTTGTACGCGTAATTTTCAAGGATATATTGGGCATTCATAAGAAAATGAAGAAGAAGAAGAATAATAAGAAATAAGATGATGAAGAAGAAGAAGCAGCCGGCACACTATCATCACCCGAGTTTTGAATAATAATAGGATGACTTTATTGTTACATCGTTCCCGTCATTCTAACAATTGAGTTCTTTCTTCTCCCTCCGTCCCTCCCCTCTACCCTCCTCGTGATAATGCACTCACACACACGCTGAGAAGAGAAAGAGAAAGACAGAAAAAATATAAATGAATTGATTTGAAGGCTATCTCAACGCCTTCTTCTTTTCGTTGATCATGTACAAACTAGCGTAATGATTGCGGATTATACACGCAAAGACATTTCATTTTTTTTTCCTTCGTTTTTGCTTTTTAAACAACGAGACGCATATTCTCAATCACTCTCTCTCTCTCTCTTCCTAACGTGCTCAATATCCGCTCTCATCATCCATGCATGTGCATAGTGTATACCCATATATGTTTGCTTGTTCGATCGTTGTTTAAATTCGCTTTTGTTCTCTTTTTGGCCATGACTTGTTCTTTCACGATGTCATCGCTATCGAATGTAATAATGAACAAAGCACGATGGGAGTAAAAAAAAAAAGAGAAAAAGCAAAACCGATACAATACTACAACCATCAACAATGCAAAAATTATGTGTATTATGCTTTTCTTTTTTTTTTCTCATTTAATTTTTTATCAAGTCTATTTTTTTAACACCCATCATTCGTCGCTAGATGGTAAGTTGAATAAGTCATTCCTTGTAGACAGACTACAACCATGTCTAAAACACATTCGTTTGACTGATGCAAATAACATGAATAGTATTGAATGTGGTAATGGTCATAAAAAGAGACGTGTGTTCATTGCCTTGAGACAGCTAAAACGGTTGATGATGGCATCAATGATATGAAAAGATAAAAAGAAAGAGAATGTTGACTTGTCATCCTATTTATACACATATATACAGATGATGATAATGCCTTTTAGGTTTCTTTCGTTGCCAATATATGAAAAAAGAAATGGAAGGAGAATATGGAAAAGAACAGACCTTGTTTCATAATTTTTCGTTATATGGATTTTTATCTATCACCCTGATCAATGAACAGCAATCAAAGAATGCATAACTAATAGGTTGTCTGAATTACCAAGCATCTTCTTTTGTGTCGTCCATCATCATTACTCGTTCTCGTTCTAAAAAAAAAAGAATTCCGATCGGTCAGTTAACACAAAGGATACATCAAATAGATAAAGAATCACTCTTTTCCTATCGACTTTTCTTTCTTATTTTTTTTGTTTTTTTTGTTTGAAATATAGTTCTTTTTGCTGCCGTTTTATTATATAATACACTGTAATTTGTGCGGAAGGAAGGCAACCGTCGTTGATGCATAGCAAACAAAAAACGTTTCTTCTTTTCTCTCTCTTCATTGTAAGTTGATCCTTAATTTGAACGGCTACAAAGGACCATGTTGGTCAGTTAAACGGCATCCATTCTCATGAGTAAAATTCTCTTGCACTTTCTTTCTGTTCTTACATGAATATTCGACAGATGTTGAACAGCTGATGACGTCCTACTGACTTTTTTTTTCATTTTAGGTAACGCCTTGACTTAGATCATCTTTAGTATGTATGCATATATCTATAGAATTCCATTATGTTCACTCATTTTAGCAAGAAAAACTAAATGAGTTGTGATGAAACTAACAATACCATGTTCGTGTATATGCGATAACGACGATAATAGAGGGCGAATTGACAACGTGAGATGCATCGGCACATTAATCGAATTGGCGGCCACACACGTCCTCCTCTTTTATTCGCCTTGGAGCACGCAATCGATAATTGGCGTCGAAACAGGATGTAATCCCCTTAGGGTTCGTTCAATGTTTAAAGACGATCAGACATAGAACAAGAGAGAGAGAGTGTTTGTATAGTATTGTTTCTCTTCTCGTTTATCATTGTAGTACAGTGCATTAGCACCTGTCATCAAATAATTCAGTCTATTTATGATCTTTTGACTTGAAAGTAAGGGTGGATCAATACACATATTTCTTTTTCTTTTTTCTTGTTACTATTTTATCATTCGAACAATCAGAATTAGAGAGTAAGATAACCTAAATTCATTTTTATTCACATCAAACAGAATTGTAAATGTGGGCTGGTCAGTTGCTTGTTCATACTATATCAATATTGTTATTGTTGTGCTTAAGAAAGAAAAAGAGACTCTATTTATCATTTAATCTGGCTCTAACTCGAAGACACTGTTGAGCCTTTTTACTCGTCGTCTCTTTTACATATATATATATATATACATACACGTATATATATACATACACGTAAACCTACTACAGCGTGTAAGAGAGAAATAAGAAGAATAATGATAGATATGCGCGCAATATGTAGGCGATTTTGTCTCTCCTTTTCTTTTTGTTCTTTCGTTTTTTCTCTTCATTGAACACACACACACACTCACATACACATACATACATTTGTGAGACAATAAAGTTTACGTTAATCGATCGAGTTTTTATAGATTGTAAGTAGTTCTTCATTTGATTTTTTTTTTCGTGTTATGATCATTATTATCATTATTATTATTATTATTATTGTGGAGTCTTTATATAGATCAACAATTATATATCTTTCACATACCATCGGATAGTAAAAGTAGTAATAGAAAAATAAGCACAAGAATAATAGTGGAGAGAGAGAAGAAAAAAAAAAAGAAAAGAAGAACGTTCAGAAGACATACTCAATTTTTCTCTACGTTTCTTTTTTATATATGTGTTTGCGTTGATGACAAAAAAATGGAGAGGCTCTTTTCATCGGTTCCACCCAACAACTTAGAAAATATAGATAAAGATACAACCATGGCCGATAGATAATTGACAGAGAGAAAGAGTGAACGAAAGGAAGAATGAGACATTCTTAGTATAGATTTGTCAAATATGTTATTGCTGATTTTCTTTTTCTTTTTCGATGATCGATCTGTTAATACTACTATCATAACACAAACACAATTCTTAGTAAACACATTTATTGTATGTGACACTAACAAAATAAAAATCTTTACATATGTTATTTCTTTTGTTTTATATATCTGTATCAATATTAAGAAATAGAAAATGCAAAATTTATCGAAAATGCTTAATAAATTATAAGACACAAATAACAAAGAAGTAAAACTTAAACTATGCAATACAATCATATTGTTGTATTCATATTGGTATTTATTTTTGTCATATATGGCCAAAGTTTACAGGTAAGCATAGATAAATAACTCAATTTTTATATGTGACAAGTTCATTTATGTGTGATGATAGGGAGGAGTCCGTAGTCGGCTGCTCTTCTCTTAATAATGAACACCATCTTGTCTTTTATTATTTTTTATTTCATGGATATATACACACATTGAGTGACGTGTATACAATTATTTGTCATTGTATGATGTGTGCGATATATTATTTGTTGATGATCATAACAGATTCTACCTGAAAGTCTTAGTGCTTATTGTCTGTTTATAAAATATAAAAGTTTATATTTTGTTTTGCTTTTCCAGGGAAAAAAACTGGACACATATGCTACCTTCATACTTCATTTAAATAATGGTCGCTTTCAGTCTGTCTATTAGATGCTTAAGGCAATAAAAGTATTAATCATATTACCAATATGAAATGTTGTTTAATGTTCTCTTATCAATGAATAACAATATGAAAAATTGATTGTTATTATTCTCTCTTTAACAATATAATAAAAAAACAAACCGACATACATTCTTACTCTAATGTCAAGCGTATATATATATATATATACACGTATAGAGTTAATCACCTTACTAGTACCATACATTGATATTTGTAACTCATAGTCTGGATAATTATGATGAACAAAAGAAAAAAACCGAAAAAGAAAAAGTAATTCAGACATCTAAAGTAACCACTCGACCACAATGACAGCAACACCACCCACCAACCATGCATAATAATAATTATATCAATTATATTCCCTATAGGCTTTCAATTTTTTTTTTGAATCAAACATAATAAGACTAAAATTCAATTAAATAACGAACAATGAAAATATTTCCTTTTTGTTTGTTTTTTTTTTATTAATGTTTAGTTTTGTCAAAAACTTCCTAAACATTTTATTATTAATGCTATTGACAATGATAAAATAAAATCGAATAGAAATCAATGTTTTACTATTGGATATTGTCATATGACAATAATTACAACTAATCAATATCATATAATTAATTTCGAACAAAATTATATTGATCAATTTATATTCTCATCAATAAATAAACTTATAATTGATCATAATCAAAAAAATTTATCTTTAATATTTTCATCAATATTAAATAATAGAATAATAAATACAACAGAAATATTAATGCATAATTGTTATAAAAATAAAAAATTTATTAAACGTAATACAAAAGAACAATATCGAGATGGTAAGATTTATTATTTATTTATGTATATATTCGATTGATTGATATTATATATATATATATATATTTGTTGTTCTTAGATTCAACATCATCAATAGTAATTACATTTAATTCATCATCATTTATTGATTATCATTGTCAAACATTACTTGATTATCCATTACGTTTATCTTTACGTTTTCGTACATTAGGTCGAATATCAAGTGGTGTACTTCTTTCATTAACACAACGTAAAACTTCATCATTAACAATACCATTTTTTATTATTGAACATTCAAATGGAAAAGTTGAAATAACTATTCTTCAATTAGATGAAAAGAAAGTATTATCAACTGTCACTGTAAGTTGAACACATCTGAAAACTATTGTTTATCTTAGGAAAAAAAAATAATAATAAGAACAATATGTTGATCCGTCTTTCTCATCTTCAAACATTTCCATCCGTGACATAGTATTAATCTCTTTTCTCATTAATTTCAATGTTCTATTTCTTTACGCATCAACTAACATGATCATTCAATGATGATTTACATTTTCTATGCTTATTTCTTGCTCTTCATTTTTTCCATATTTCTATCTTGATTAGCAATTCATCTAACACCAGATTCGGAACGACGACAACCTAGAATAAGAAGAAGAAGAAAAAAAAACGAAGCACAACAATAATGATATTTCTCATTTGTAAAGGATGGGTAGACGAGCATATGAACGAACAAAAAGAAAAAAAAAACCCAAGAATGAAGTATTATTTTTTCCTATTCTTCAAGGTCATTTATGTATATCTTCAAATAAAAACTAAACAAAGAAAAATTGAATTGTATACAATATCAATAATCAGATATTTTCATATTTAAATCTATCTTTTTTTGTTTTGTATAAAAAGAATAAAAATAAAAGAAAATCTAAAAAACTTTTCTAGACTCTTCAATGTGGAAAAAATATAAATAATGATAATTGGCATTGGTTACAACTTGAATTAGATCAAAATGGAATATTTACACTTGTTGTTGATGATGATAGTCGAACATGTAAACAAAACAAAAAAAACTTTCAAATTCAATTTTCTTTGTGGTTTTTGTTTTTGTTTCGTAGCTCAAATACCAAGTTATGTTGTAGGTAGTTGGAATTTAAATGCTGTATTAGTTGGTGATACACGTCGTTTAAGTTCTGATATATTTCAACCATTTATTGGTTATATGAGTGATCTCATATTTAATGATGAATATTTATTTGAAAATTTAATAAAACCACATGAACAACTTGTATCAAATTTTCATTATTATAGTCAACATATTATAATTGGTTATCGTATATCATTTTTTAATTTAGTTACAATTAATACACAAAAATCTTATATAGCTTTTTCTGAACGTGAAAATCAAAATAAAAATCATGGAAAACTTGATATTTATTTTTTATTTCGTTCATATGTACCTGATGGAATTATATTATATCGTTATGCACAAGGTTTAAATGAATATTTTGCTATTGGTTTAAGAGCTGGTATACTTGCATTATTTATTGATTTTGGTTTTGGTAAACGACAAATTGTTAGTGATGAATCAACAAAATTAGCTGATGGAAAATGGCATGAAGTACGTGTAACAAGAATTGGCATTGATAAGTACGTTAAAATAATCTTTCAAATGTTAGATGATTTTGTTTTTTTTTTTTTGGCCGGATATTAAATATGTAAATTGAAGTACGTATTTAGATATAAAATTATTCGATAAAAATCTCATATTAAGTACTTTCCATTTACATATTTTCTTCGAGACAAAGTCTTTAGACAGTATATCTAATTCAAATTATCTGTTGGAGTTTTTCTTCGTTTTCTTTTTTATAATTAGTTATGGTTATTACTTGAATGCATGTCATATGTTTGATCGATGTTGAATGGAAACAATCTTATAGAATTAAGAAAAAAAAAAGAATGATTGATTGGTAAATAGAAGAGTTCTTTGTCTTACTCGAAGAAAAACCAACAAGCTTGAATGTGTTAAAAGCTATTTTTATCAGAAATACAATAAAAAAAAAAGAAAAGATTAAAATTATTTTATAGTGTAACCTTAGTTCTTTGTTTTTTTTTCTAGTTGATATGATATAGGAATTTTCTTGTTTGATTTCAAGATAATAATCGAAAGAATAAAAGATAGATTCATTTATTTTTTATTTTGTATATAGGATTGAATTAATTGTTGATAATCGTGTAAATCGTTCTACTTTATCAGCTAATGGTATACGAAATGCTGTTTCTCTTCAACCAGTTCTTTATGTTGGTGGAATACCAAATAATAATAATATTAATTTAACTGGATCAGGTCTTAATGCACATGGATTTCAAGGATGTTTATCAAGTTTTATTGTTGATGGTCGTTTACTTGATTATCAACGTGCATTAGTACTTAATGGACAAGTGAAAATGAATGTTTGTTCAGGTAAAATATAGTTTTATTTCATTTTTTTTTTCAATTTTTGTTAGAAGAACAAAAAAAAAAGAAAGATTGAATATACTGTAAAACTCTACACGTATGAATTGATTGAATAAATAAACTTTTCCTAACAGATTCTTCGAATACATCAACAGATAAAAATAATGGTAAGCTATTGTTTTACTCATTTAGGTTGTATGTTCTCGTCCTCCCTTGTTGCTTTTTTGTGTTTTTGTCATGAAATCGCCTTCTTCTTCTTCTTTTTCTTCATCTACCACGTTTGTTCTATAGTTATTGAATTTTCACTTTTGTATTAAATTACATTGATATATATATAACAGAAGAAAAAATATTTTTGATTTTATTTTTATATAGATTTAAATAAACTTTGTTATGATTTTACATGTATTCATTCGGGTGTATGTTCAACAAATGAAAATGATGAGCCAAATTGTGATTGTATTGAAACAAGTTATATAGGTGAACGATGTGATAAATGTAGGTTGATAATTTTTTTTGTTTTTCTTTTTTGTTTTTAAATATTTATTTAATAAATTAGTACCAAAAGGATTTTATTTTGGTAAACATCATTCAATTGGTTCAATTGAATATGTTATACCAAAAGTATATCAAACAGATAATGATATAATATCATTTGGTTTACAAACATCATCAATATCAGCACAAATATTTCGTCTTGAATCTGATTTAAATTTATATAGTCTTGAATATGAAATTGTAAGTTTCATTTTTTTTTCTAATTTTTGATTCTATTGTTGAAAATAAATAGATACGAGAACGATCATATATTAAATTAAATATGGGTACAAAACAATCTGATGTTTATTCAGGTGTTGCTTATGTAACTGATGGAATGTATCATGCTATTAAAATAATTCGAAGATTTTCAATTATTGAATTATATGTTGATGGAACTCGAATAAAATTAGAAGGAGGAAATAGTATGTTGATGATAAATATTTAAAAGAAATAAAAGAGATATCGTCTATTTTAGAATATTCACGTCAATTAGAACAACAAACCTTTCTTAAACAACAACGTTTACGTATTGGAAATTTTAAAAATGCTTCACATTGGAATGGAATTATTGCTGGTATGTTTAATAAAAATTTTTCATAATAACATATTATAATCTTTTCAATAATTATTATCATTATTTGTTAGACAAAGGAGAAGGACGCATCAGAAATCAAATCGGCTTACTAATACTTTCTTGACTAACTCCATTGAATTATATCGCAACGAAAAGAGCATGTTGAGAGCAACATTTTTATATTCTATAGGAAGAAAAAGGTGTCATACTGAACCTTGTGAGGCTTTAGCATAATCTGATTCCGTTGTGAACCGATTTTTTTGGCTTCAAAAAAATGGTTCCATCTAGAGAAAAAAAACAAACAAGTAAAAAGTCATCGTGTTTTCTTGAAATTATTGAATGTGATTTTTCTCGTTAGAAACATTCTATTTTACAAAAATAACGATTTTTTATAAAGTTTAAACAAAGGCCGTGGTGATCAACGAATCCGAATTTGTAGAATGAAATCTATGAATTTTTTCGTTATCTCGTTGTCAGGCAATTGTAACTTCCCTCCGTCGGTACCTCCCAAAAAGTTACAAGGACTGCTCTTAGATAGCCCTTGAAAACTTATTAACCTCGACGCGATCAGCTCGTATCCCTACTGTCGCCTGATTTTTTGTTATTATTGGATAAGTAAAGCTATTTCAGATTTATGAAAATCAAGTTGGGCTCAAAAAATAATCTATCTTAGTGTAAGTGACTTGCGCCAGAACTCTTTTAAACACAGGAAAGCATTTTTTTGTCTGATATAATTCTTTAAATTATCTAGACTCATTGATACTTATTAATAAACGAATGAAACTTTAAAAAGTTCGATATCTTCACTAAAATGATAAATGGTTCATTATGACACCTTCCTTTTTTTTTTGTTAGAGATTACTAGTTTCATGATGTCTGATTAAATTTTGAAACTTAAAAGCTATCAGCAAAGTAATACATTTTTAATCTTCATTCTAATAATCCATACTATGATAATAGATTCAATTAGAGAATAAATAGACAAGACAAAATACTACTGAAATTGTGAATTTGATAGTTCTTTGATGAATTTTCAATCCCAATTCATTGTTTTTATTTAATGAGATATAGATTCGATGTACTAGTAGACACTGTTGGCATATTTATTGTATTTATCATAAACTCTTTTCGTTCAAGAAATACATACAATAGTCAAAAAGTTCATACACTTTCAAATATTTATTCATAGAAAAAAAAAACATTTTATCAGTCTGTTGACAGTAAATGTTCGAAGTAGTTTCCATGATGTTCAATACAAAATTCTATCCTTTGAAGCTATTTCAAAAATGTTTTTTGGTATTCGTAAATAGATATTGAATTGAGTTCTGTGATTATTGCTTTAGTCAAATTTGTAGTATCTGGAGATGTATCAAGTTCAGTGTTCACACAACTGAACAAGCAGAAGTAGAATATAGAAGATGAGCTCTAAGTTTGATTTATTTTTCTTCTTGAACATAATTAAAAGTAATAGGATTCCAATGTGGTTTTGGATTATCATGATGCGACTTAATACCATTTGTTTGTTGATGATAGTCTTTTTTTGTGTAACTTTTTAACAAATATCTGTAAAAATTCATCACAATAATATATGACATTTATTGATATTCTCGAAGATAATTCATGAATAAATAATTGTTCATTTGTCATTAAAAAAAATATATTACAAACATTGTTCTTTCTTCGAATGATTATCTCTTAATTACTGCAGAGGACCTTTTTTTCCTACCTATGATTTAGATTATTCTTTTTGAGTTGATTTTACGATGATAAATCTAAATTTCATCTCTCATGACAATATTTACACAGTCTCCAGGCATTACTTTAAAATTTCCACAAATTTTCAATACAAATATCAACATGTCGTTCTTGAGTGAGTTCATCAGATATTCATCTTGACAATATTTTTCATAAGTCAAGATGTTGCTTGAGAATAGTATCTACACTATCATGTAATATATATAAGATGTAACAATATAATTAATACTAATCTGTGCATCATTATTGATGAAATCTTTAATAGCATCAAAATTTTGTTGAGAAATGACAATTATTGAACGATCATTTCAGAGATTAACTTCGAACGGCTCTTGTCCATTTGAAAATCGGTGAATCCAATCAACAGCTGTATGAAAAAAAGTTCAATTTGAGTTTTTTTCGTCAAAAAATTTACTCCTAATCCTCCCCCCAGAAACCATGCAAAAAGTTATAGGATGGTAAGATTGCAGATATTTAGAAAATGAAAGCTGAATTTTCAAAGAGTTCATTTTTTGTGTAAATCCTGGGGGAGATTAGAGGTGACTTTTTCGACGAGAAAAAAAACTTTCAGAAATTCTTTAAATCGTATATAGACCAACTTAGTTTTTTATACTGATTCCGAATATCATGTTAGTTTTGAATTAAATTAAAGTTTTTCTAGTCGAGATCTTCTAAATATTGATCCCAGACAACAGTGTGTTAGGGAACTTTTTAAGTGATCCTATTTTTTGGCTTTTGAAAATATATAATTTTGTATCTTCTCAAAAGTGCTATCAAATGAGTAATGCGAAAATTTTGATCATTTCAATTTTTCGGTTAAATATTTCTTAAACAATGAGAGTTTATGATAAATACAGTAAATACGCTAAAAGTGTTTACCAGTACATCGAATCTATTCCTCGTTAAATTAAACAATCAATTGATGATTTTTTATATGGAGCTGAAGCCCCATCAAAGAGTTATCAAATTCATAATTTTAAATAGAATCTATCATCATAGTATGGATTATTAGAATGAAGACTAAAAATACAATACTTTGTTGATAGCGTTTTAGATTTTAAAATTTAATCAATATCTCATAAAACTAGTACGAAAATGTTAGTTTCAACATGCTATTTCCGTTGATATATGATTCAATGGAGTTAGTCAAGAAAAGTACTAGTGAACTGATTTAACTTATGAATTCCTCTCATTTCAATTTCATTAATCTTAGTAATTCATTGAGATTGTTCAATAAACAAAAATTAAATTACATTATATCTGCTCTAACGAAAATCCTCTAAAGATCACTATGATAAAGAGTCAATTTTCCTTAGAGAAATCTGAATTAAGATGATAGCTCAATGTCTGATCTTTCATTCT